TCACCCAGCGCATTTCCTGTACCAGGGAACCCACGAGTGCTACTTCCAGTCCAACCGGAGCGAGGCCGGATCGGGGCCACCTTCTCCTCCTCCTCCGCGGGTGCGCTTCCTCGAGCGCTACTTCTACGACCGGCAGGAGTTTGTCCGCTTCGACAGCGACCGCGGGGAATACGAGGCCGTCACGCCGCTCGGGGAGCCCATCGCCCGATACTGGAACAGCCAGAAGGGGATCCTGGAGCGCAAGCGGAGCGAAGTGGATTACTTTTGCAGCCACAACTACGGCATCTACGAGCCCTTGGCCCGAGAGCGTCGCGGTGAGTCCCGAGGGGGCGGCTGACGGTGGAGGGGCCGAGAAGAGCATCTCTTGGGGGGTGTTGTGTCCTAAGATCAACTTTATTGTTATCCCTTCCAGGTGTTGGTAGCAGCCTGGTGGATGGGACAGCAGCTGTTGTGGATAAGTTCCCTTCCCCCAATTAGCATAGACGCTCAGTAATTGGGGCGGGGTGGAAACCTCTAAATGAGAGGCGGGGGGGGGGTATATATACATGCGTGTGCGTGTTCCCAGTCTTGAGTATAATCGTGTGGAATTACTGCTGTGTCGTGGCTCTTATATGGCTTCGAATTCCACTATACAACGGGGGGGGGGGGGGAGGACGGGAGGGGAGAAGGCCTTGGCGAGGCTGCCGGGACCTTTTCCCCGTCAATGAGCCTCCGGCACGATCTCTCTCTCTCCCCCTCCAAATGACTGGCTGTCTGACTCGGAATTCCTAGTGATCTGTGAGAGTTTTTTTCATAAATAAGTCAGGAAATGGAGGGCATGAGAAAAGGCAAGGGGAGAACGGTTTGCAATTGGGTGAGGAAGAAAGAAGTGGATGACTCGAATCCAGGTAGAGTTGAAATCAAGAATAATAGGGCAGATTTAAAGAAAAGTATAGAAGGAAGGAGTTTTAGAGATGTAGGAAGGGAATTACAGGAGGAAAGACAAGAGGACCAAATTTCAGTTCCAATAGATTTAAAAGCTACTCCAGGAGAGAGACCACGCATTGGTGTCAACGGACTCTTTATCTCAAGTGGTAAAACACTGATGACAAGACCAGGACGATTTCGGATACAGGTACTGCCTTGGTCCCTGTGGAAATCGGTATGGCATGTGATGATAAAGAAGCACAGCAATGGAGAGGGGACTTGAATCTATTTAAAAATAAAACTATTATAGAAATTAAGGATCAAAAAATATATATACTATATATTAAGGGAAATATGTTGATGGAAATGATGTGTAAAAGGAAAAAGTTGCAAAATCCAGAGATAAAGAAATTTAATAGGTTTATAAATAGAATTTGTTTGAAAATCGTAATAAGAAGTTGAAATTGTTGTCTTGTTGTTTAGTTAAGTCATGTCCAACTCTTCGTGACCCCATGGACCAGAACACACCAGGCCCCCCTTTCTTCCACTGCCTCCCGTAGTTGTGTCAAATTCATGTTGGTTGCTTTGATGACCCTGTCCAGCCATCCCATCCTCTGTCGTCCCCTTTTCCTCTTTCCTTCACACGTTCCCAACATCAGGGTCTTTTCCAGGGAGTCCTCTCTTCTCATGAGATGGCCAAAGTATTTGAGCCTCAGTTTCAGGATCTGTCCTTCCAGTGTGTACTCAAGGTTGATTTTTAGTTGACTGTTGTCTGTGGCTACTCAAAAAAAGAAAGAAAGAAAGAAAGAAAGAAAGAAAGAAAGAAAGAAAGAAAGAAAGAAAGAAAGAAAGAAAGAAAGAAAGAAAGAAAGAAAGAAAGAAAAAGGAAAACAAAATATAATTGGTGGAATAGGGAATGAGAAGGGTGAGTTTGGTAAATGAAAGGAAAATGAATGATTTTTCAGAATTTTATACACTGAGAAAAATATATCACTAGAGGAGTTCCACAGCTATATAAATATATATAACTATATATCAAGTGATAAAATCAAAGAAGAGCATAGAGATAGACTGGAGGGACAAATGGCAGAAACTGAGATCCAAGCAGCAGGAAATAGATTGAAAGTGGGAAAAGCTCCAGGAATAGAGAGGTTGAGGATGGAATATGATAAAATTTTTGAGCACGAGTGGTTCCAAATATGAAAATAAGAGTCAACTAAATATTACATGAAGACATACGACCTTCATAGCAACAATCTATCCTAATTTTAATATCGAAGCCAAATAAAGACTCTACCGATCATTATAGGCCAATATCACTGATCCACCAATATGCAAAAATATTTCCAGCAATCTTGGCAAGCGGAATGAGTAGTTTTGTAGCTAAATATGTGAAAAAGAATCAATGTGGTGTTCTAGGAGGAATGCAAAGGTCAAATTCGGTATGGAGAGGTTTAAGTATAAACTATTCTATAAATAAAAATAAATTAAAAGCAGATTATGAGCACTAGATATTTACAAACCTTTTCATTATTAGAAATGGCCAATGCTACAGATATTAATAGTGAAATGGGATAGAAATGGCCGATGCTACAGATATTAATAGTGAAATGGGATGTGGAAAAACATTAGAAATATAATTCATCGTATTTGGGAAAGAAGGCAACAGTGTTGGGAAATGATGGTGTCATGGAGGTAATAAACCTAAGCTGAGGAACAAGGCAATATTGTGACAATATCTCCCCCACAATATGGTTTGTCTTAATAAAGGAGGGACTGGCGAATGTCGTAAGAATAGATGATCTATGAAAAGGGATGGGATTTGGACAGAAAACTAAAATAAGTTTATTTGCAGATTTGGGAATTAAGTGGATGGTGAATAAATGGGAAGAATTCAAAAATGATATTAAACAATTATTCTAGAGAGGAAATACAAAAGATGAAAGACAAGTTATAATTCAAAGAGAGTGAAAGTACAAGATATTAGGGTATAGACCTTATTAAGAATATACAATATCTGGAGAAAACATATTGGAAAAGAATAAAGAAGGAAGTCAAAGACAAATGAGAGACGTATAAAAGATTGAAATTATCCTGATTTGGCAGGATTTCACTTTTTAAAATAGAAATATTATCAGCATTTCTACCCGTGTCACCCGTGCAAGTCAGGAGGTGAGGCTGAGGAGCCTGACACCGAGGGAGGCCCAGAAGGAAAAAACAAGAAACCGGGCCTTCTCGGCGGTGGCTCCTCGCCTCTGGAACAACTTGCCTCCAGAGATTCACGCGGCTCCCTTACTGGGTATGTTTAAGAAACAACTGAAAACATGGATGTTTAGGCAGGCCTTCCCCTCCCCCAGTTAATCCCTGACCTCCCCCTTGCTTTCTTTACTATGTTTTTCCCTTTTCCATCTTATAGAATTTTTAATTGTGTACAAATTCCTTTTTATTTTGGGTTTTGTGTTGTAAGCTGCCTAGAGTGGTCAATAGGACCAGATATGCGGGGTATGTATGTATGTATGTATGTATGTATGTATGTATGTATGTATGTATGTATGTATGTATGTATGTATGTATGTATGTATGTATGTATGTACGTATGTACGTATGTACGTATGTACGTATGTACGTATGTACGTATGTACGTACGTACGTACGTACGTATGTATGTATGTATGTATGTATGTATGTACGTATAAATACATAAATAAATAAATAAATAAATAAATAAATAAATAAATAAATAAATAAATAAATAAATAAAATGTTGTTTTAGATGATCCCCCCCTTAAGTTTTTAAAAATGAATTAAAAGAAATATAACAGATAATAAATGAACTATGTACTGGAGGGATGAAAGGTAGAATAAACAAAAAGATGTGGATTCTACCACAAAAAAGGGGGGGATAGAGATTACCAAGTATTAATAATTCTTATTTATCAAATCAGTTGAGAATCATCCTGGATATTATAGTACAAAGTGATGAATTAATATGAAAAGACTTTGAATTACAGCTATTAAACGAATTGGAAGACCGAGAAGAAACATATTGGTATGCAAAGAATATTATAAGAACCATTAAAAAGATTCAGAATCCTTTTATGAAGAAGCTACTTGAGATCTGAGAGTTTTACGTCCTGGAATTTCCCCTTTGACACCAGTTGTCGTGTTGGAGAATTTTCCAAGATATGGAATAAAGGAGTTGATTAACACATTGAAAAGAAAATAGAGCTATAAATGGGAGGATTGGAAACATGGAATCAAAACTAAGGATCAATCCAGAGGTATTTTGGCAGAAGAAACCTTAAAATGGTTAAATTTGATACAGCTGAAACAATGGTTGAAAGAAGGAGAAAAACAAATTAAACTAAAGCATAGGCAGTTGACAAAGCTGAGAGAAGGGGCCCATCAGTTTGGAGGGTGAAAAATAATATGGGAGGCAGATGTAGGAAAAATAGATAAGTCAGTTCCCTTCCGAGATGTGGGACCCATGCTTGGAGGCCTCCAGGCCAACTTGACCGACCCTCAACTCCATCTCCTGGTTCCCTCTCGCCCACCTGCAAGGTCTCCTGACTCCTCTCCCACCTTCTTTTTCTCCCTTCCCTCCAGTTCAGCCCAAGGTGAAAATCGCCCCCTCCAGCTACGACTCCTCCTCTCACCACACTTTGCTGATTTGCAACGTGGACGGATTCTGGCCCTCCCAAATTGAAATCAAGTGGTTCCGAAACGGGAAGGAGGAAGACGAGGCCCGAGTGTTCACCACGGACCTGATCCGGAACGGGGACTGGACCTTCCAGATGGCGGTGATGCTGGAGGCCCAGCC